TTGCTGAGCTCGTCGACTTTGCTGCTCGTTGTCGCCTAGACTACGCTGCTAGTCTTGTCGCTAAGTCTCAGTCTGTCTGTCCTCCGTCCGTCGGGGGTGAGTGTGCCCTTGGCACGGACGTCCTTGAGGACAGGCAGGAGGAGTTCCAGTGCTTGGCCGCTGCTTCACCTCATCTCGTGTCCGTACTGCTTACCCCTGAGGGAGACCCGTATGCACTTGACATCCCGACTCCGCGCTCTTACGCGGAGGCGATAGAGGGTCCCTACTCTTCTCAGTGGCAGGCAGCTATGGATGCAGAGATGGCTTCCTGGAAGTCCACAGGCACCTACGTTGACGCTGTCCCCCCTCCTGGGGCGAACATCGTCAGTGGCATGTGGATCTTCAAGTTGAAGCGGCCGCCGGGTTCTCCGCCTGTTTTCAAGGCGCGTTATGTGGCTCGTGGCTTCAGACAGCGGCAGGAAGTTGACTACTTTCAGACCTTCTCTCCTACCCCGAAGATGACCACTCTTTGGGTACTGCTGCACGTTGCTGCTCACCGTGACTACGAGCTGCACTCTCTCGACTTCAGCACAGCTTTCTTGCAGGGCAGCCTGCACGAGGAGATGTGGCTGCGCCGCCCACCTGGCTTCACTGGGTCTTTCCCTCCTGGTACCCAGTGGAGTCTCCGGCGTCCAGTCTACGGTCTCCGCCAGGCGCCACGTGAGTGGCACGACACACTGAGGACTACGCTTGCGGCTCTTGGGTTTGCTCCTTCTACTGCCGACCCGTCGCTGTTTCTGCGCACCGACACTTCTCTGCCGCCGTTCTACATCCTTGTGTACGTCGACGACTTGGTCTTTGCCACAGCTGACACTGCTGGACTCGCCTACGTGAAGTCCGAGCTGCAGAAGAGACACACGTGCACAGACCTGGGTGAACTGCGCAGCTACCTTGGCTTGCAGATCACCCGGAACAGAGCACGCCGCACCATTACCCTGACTCAGTCACACATGGTGCAGCAGGTCCTTCAGCGCTTCGGCTTCACGTACTCCTCGCCTCAGCCCACTCCTCTGCCTACTCGCCACTCGCTCTCAGCTCTGCCTTCGGATGAGTCCGTAGAGTCGAGTGGCCCGTATCCAGAGCTTGTTGGCTGCCTCATGTACCTGATGACCTGCACACGACCTGACCTTGCATACCCTCTTAGCATTCTCGCACGCTATGTTGCTCCTGGGAGACACCGACCAGAGCACATGGCTGCAGCGAAGAGGGTGTTGCGCTACTTGTGCAGTACGTCGGGCATGGGGCTAGTGCTTGGAGGGCGGAGTCCAGTGGTCCTCACTGGGCACGCGGACGCTTCTTGGGCTGACGACCAGGCTACGCAGCGGTCGTCATAGGGTTACACCTTCAGCCTTGGTTCCGGCTCTGTTTCGTGGCGGGCTACTCGCTCGTCTTCTGTTCTTGGCTCCAGTTGTGAGGCTGAGATCTACGTCGGGGCCATGGCTGCACAGGAGCTTCGCTGGCTCACCTACCTGCTGACCGACCTTGGAGAGTCGCCTTGTTCTCCTCCAGTCCTGTACGTAGACAACAAGGCCATGCTGGCCTTGTGTCGAGAGCAGAGACTGGAGCACATAACAAAGCACATTGCTCTTCGCTACTTCCTTGCTCGTGAGCTACAGCAGCGTGGTCAGTTGCGGCTTGCGTACGTGGCCTCTGAGGCCAACACTGCTTATGTCTTCACCAAGGCACTTGCGCCTTGTGATCATCAGCGCTTCTGCACCCAGCTGGGTCTTGTACCTGTCTTGCCTCACTTGCTGACCTCTTGACCTTGCTTGTACTGTTACATATATATATACCTGCTCTTGCTTGTCTAGCCTTATATATATATATATGTGTACTCCTGCATGTGAACTGGCCTTGTGGCCTTGAACTTGTGCTCGGAATGTGTGGTGACTTTGTGATCCACCCTGAGCTTGCTTTGCTTTGCTTTGCTTGACTGGTCTTGTGACCCCTTGTTCTCCCCCACTTTGCCTATGGGGGTGTGTCAGAACATATAGCTTGTGCTTATTGTGTAGGCTATAGTGGGGTAGCCCATAAGGGGTACAACCCAATTAGGGTTAGTACTTGTACTCCGTTCATTCATAGTTCATTCATTCTCGTTTCAATCTTCTCAATATCCTATGGTGTCCGCCGGTTGTGACGTCTTCAATCTGTCCCATCATTTTCTCCCTTTTTTGGCCACCCTGGTCGACACCATCCACCGAATTCACGAAGTTGGCGTCCTTGCTTGTCAACTAACCCCTTCGTCGACCACATCGCTCAGTGTCGGCCGTTGACTTCCCGTAGTTCGCGGCTTTGCACTGGTGTCGTGCAAGTCGACCAAGTCCATCGACTTGCTTGCCCAAGTTGATGTCGACCACTGCATGCAGTTGGTTGCACCTCCCACGCACCCGACCATTAAGTCGGCTTCGCCCAAGCGAGGGCAGGGCCAACTCTTGTCAACAGCGGTTGGATTGAGCAGTGGCGAGAACAATTGCAAGCAAGGCACAAGAGGCAATGAGGCATATACATTTAGGCAACCGGTTTGAGTAATCATAGCTCGTTATCTTACAACTAGGGTACATACTTGTCTTGACATTTGTGTCACAATCCGCTCTACCGAATCAAACCGCTTTGTAAAAAATTTCGAACTTAGGTTCAATTCGGTATAGTGCGGTACCTTGGGATTGTGACACAAATGTCAAGATAGGAATGTACCCTTAGGCACTCACCTGAAGAAAAGTCGCCTTGTGGTGGTCACGCCCGTTTGAAACACCCAACGCTTCAACTTCTCTCTAGCGGCGGTGCACGGGATCATCGCTGTCATCTGTTTTTTTCTGGTATCCACTGCTACGGATAGGAGCTGACTACATCCATATCTCCTCCACGGTTTGAGCTGCCGACATCTCAAGCTAAAGTGAAGTTCGGCCGGCGTTGATTATCTAACGATTCTCAATGTTGTACACCTTTGAGGTGTTGGGCACGAATCTTTAGAAATTGAGACCCTGTTCTTCACATTCTCCAATCCATGAAGACAAAAGGTGAAGAGTTTTTTACTAGTAAGATACAACACATCGATGTCAATGACAAACAAGTGAAATACAGTGTTCAGGTAGAGCAAGCAAACAAATATCAATGTTTTCCCAGGAACAGGCTAGAATTCAAGAGGGTCACAGGGGTTGATACTCATAGTCATACATATTCTTACCCAAGTTTGTTTTGGCTTGCATTGAGAGATTCCAGTGTCAACAGAATCTATTGAACCACCTCTGAGAACCTTTACACCTGTGGCACACTCCTTTGGTCACAGTAGATTCTTGACAAGTGAGCAGTAGTTTATATCAATAGGGTGCAGGCAGTAATATGGGTGGGTGATAAGTGAGCAATGTGACTCGGTCGTGTGACCTACGAGGAGAGGTGATCTGGTGTGACATATTGTTTCCTTGCAACCCGCAAGCAGCAGGCTCAAGCCAAGCAGCAGAAGGAAAAGAGGGGGTAGTTTCGGGCAGCCTTAAGCCAAGGGTAGGAAAGTAGTAATAGGGGGAAAGAGCATAGGATGGCCACTGTTTGTATGTTGTGTTTTACTGCATGTTGTTGTTAAATCCTTAGCATTATGATTCAAGGCCATTACAAACAGTGTAAGCAGATGGGAAAGTATATTACTTGGAGAAGGAGATCGACAAGTGTAACCACCAGAAAGTGAGGAGCAAAGGGAAAACAGATCAGCAGATGCAAGGTAAAACAACACAAGACATTGTAGCAAGGGAGGAGTCCACGGCAGAAAGGGGAGGAGGAACAGGGTGGTATGGGCTTCAGGACAGAAACGCAAGAGCGTTGGGGGGGAGGGGTTCAAAGAAGGGGCTGAGGTGCACCTGCTTCATCAATTCTCGCGACCACTGCTGGAGCCGCCATACCGACATGGCTAGTCCCTTAGTTCGTTCAGTGAGCAGCTACTGTACAATTGTTGCTCCATGTCCTTGAAGACGTTTACGGCAACCCGCTGCCCCGTAAGGTCGGCCCCGCCGTATTTTCTGTGCAGCGATTTACTGTGCGGGATTTCTGCTCACGCGACACTTTGCTCACGTCCTTCACCACCTCTAGCCTCACCAGCCACTTGAACTTCTCCTGAACGGTGTAGGCATGCAGATTCTTCTTCGTCGGCCGACTCATGGGGAAAGGGGACGGGAGCCACGATTTTGGCGAGAAGGGTGGGGTCGAATCTTGTTAGGTGTTGGAAACGTAGGAATCGGCATGTGTTGGAAGTCGTTGTCTTCGCCGCCCAGTGGTATTTAACATCATCTTCGTCGATGACTGTGGAATCGTCCAACGGACAGCCATCCACGTTGCCCCACTGCGGCCACTTCCTCGCACTCGCCATCACCCTCCTGAGATTTTCCCAAGTGAGAGGGCAAGGAGGAGTCGACTGAGAAAGGGTTGCTGTTTAAGAAGATTGCAGGGCTCAAAGGCGCGGGCGGGCGAAAGGAGCTGGAGGAGGGGGAGGGTGGCGCTGGCGGGGCAGGCGGATTAGGAGGTGCAAGTGGTGCGGATGGGACTGGTTTCTGCCATGACCATAACTTGCCTAGACTCTGGACCACGGAAGAGGAGAATGATGCCTGGCATGGCAACCCAACCCCTCCATGGGTTCCTAATCCCCTAGGGATGAGAAAGGAAACTGGTAAGATACTTGAGAATGATGAGCCCCGTTTGAGGACCCTGTTGGGTTGTGACCCCTTCTGGTGTGCGCCTATTTCCTCTGCAACTGGATTCAGAGGACCCAGCAGTGAAGACACCCGTCATATCCCATAAAATAAGGCAATGTCGTGCCCATTCAAGTCTTCCTACACAACACAATCGTTTCCTTGGGTGCTTTTATACTACATACTTTTCGCATCCATCATGGCACCTCCTGAATGGTTGAGTTGCCTCAGGATTCGACAAGCATACATGAGCTTCAGTCAACTACGAGCTGATCACAGGCTGAAATATTACTCTGGATGCGAGCCTTCAGGAGTGGTCCCTGATGCCCTACCGAAGAGTCCAACCATGGACTGATCCCCGTTGGTAACTCCGGAGCATTGACTAGCTTGTCTGAGCACAGCAGCATCAGCCCCACCAGCTGCAACGCTCTCTCCGGCCTTTTTGTGGCTCTCGGCCTCAGATCCATGCATGCACCATGATTGCATACTCGATACATGCTCCTTATCACGCTCCATGTAGCGAAACCCATTTTCTCCCTCGCGACTCCTCTTGAAGTTGACTGGCCGGCCATCTTCCCAGTGACCAGACTCCCGGGTGTGGTTCAGCAGGCGCTGTTGATGCCGCTCCAGAATCTGCCGGTTGTGCTCCATGGCAGCGCTGAAGCTTGCAAGGAGTTTGCAAAGGGGCATGCCTGAAGCTGGCACTGCTTCAGGTGCAGATGGTTGGAGAGTGGCATTGGCAGGTGAATCAGCGTGAATATGCTCTTGTGCTACGGAGGGGTTACCAGCAGGAGCAGCAACAGCAGCGGTGGAAGCAGTATGAATTGGGGGGTAAAGGGCAGCAGCAGCATTACCAGCAGAACCAGCAGAAGCAGTAACAGTGGGAGAAGCAGGAGCACTGCTAAGAAAAGAGCCAAAGCCATCATTGTGGAGAGAAGGGACAGCACCAGTGGCAGGACCAGGGGTAGTGGAACCAGGCGGATGGGAAAAAGCACCAGCAAGAGAAGTCGTTGCATGAGAGGGCATTGATGAGGGGTGACAGGTGCGGTTATGGCTGTCAAAGCCAGTCCTTGCAGCAGCCATTGCTGTTGTTCCCTGCAGATTCAGACAAAGAAGAGAGCTGAATGTTATGTGGTGGAGTGGTGTTGAAACAAAAACAAGACGAATGAGAACAGGACTAGCACTGCTGACAACACTAGCACTACTGACAACACTAACACTGCTGACGGCGCTAGCACTACTGGCAATGCTGATATTGCGGCTGACTATGCTGGCATTGCTGGTAATGCACATTACCTGTGATCTCCAGACACTTGACTCCTGGATATGCCCTTGATTTTGCCGCTGCTGCAGCTTCTGCTGCAGTTGCTCCTGGTGTCCTGTCACAGAACAGGCAAGATCTCCTTGCTTCTGACCTACAACAGCTGCAAGCGAGTGGGTCTCTGCAACAATAATACCAGCACACACAGCAGCAGCAGGGGCAGCAGCAAGAGCAAGAGCATCAGCAGCATCAGCAGCAGCATCAGCAGCATCAGCAGCAGCAGCAGCAGCGGCAGCAGCAGGAGCAGCTGCACCAGCAGGAGTGCCAAGGTTAGGGGCGCCATTCACAAGCAGTGCTTCTGTTGAGTCCCAGAGCTGAAACTCCCAGGGCAGGAGCGAAAAATCTGATGCGCTGTTGTTGGTGTGTCCAGCAAAATCACCAGAAAATCCTGAGACGCTGAACGGAATTTCTTCCAAAACCCCTAGTGCCCCTCCAAGACTCTCCATTCCTGTCTGGTTGCTGGGGCCGGAGCTGAGAGGATTGCTGAAAGATGTGCTGGGAAGGCTACAGAGAGGGTTATGGAAAGGGTTGCTGGAGTGGCCATGATGGATATGTGGCGCCCCAGCAGGCGAGCTATCCACATCCATGACTTGCATTAGATTCATCCACTCCGTAGCCTCTGCTGCTGCTGCTGCTGCAACGCATTCCGTTCCTTCTGAATCTGCTGCTACGCCACCCATGTGCTCTGCAATCTCTTCAGCACTATCCCGCCCTGATAGTGACGCCATACTTTGCTTGGCATCCTGCTCGTCTGTGCCCAAATCAGCTCCCATTTCAGGATCTGCAAACGCCGCTGCTGACTCAGGGGTGACACCAATGGCCCCAGCAGGGACAGCAGCGATGGTGTAAGCTCCTGCTGCGTCTGCCGCCGCTGCTGCTGCTTCTGCTGCTCCTGCTGCGTCAGCAGCTGCTGCTGCTGCTCCTGCTGCCGCTGCCGCCTTATTTGCAGCCTTGGCGACATTAGCAGAGGCAGCAGCCTTGGCATTGTTATTGACTGCAGCCGATCCCAGCCCAGCTGCTTCACCAGCATCAGAAGCTGTTGCAATAGCCTCGTGATCAAGTGTAGTGAGAACCGTGTCTACAGCAGCGGCAGCAGGAACAGCAGAAGCAGTAGCAGCAGGTGCAGCAGGAGCAGGCGCAGGGGGAGCAGCAGGAGCAGCGCAGGGCCTTATGGGAGGGGAAAGGGCAAGATGTGGGGTCTGCTTCTGGATGTTGGCAAGAATGCCTCTGATAGGGGCCTCAAAGGGAGGATCGGAGCCGGGAATGGCACACTCCTCCAGCGTGACGTGCATAGGACTGGCTTGGAAGCAAGCAGGTGTGCAGTGGCTTGCTGAAGGACAGGCGGGAGGAGCAGCAGGAGGAGCAACAGCAGGAGGAGCAACAGCAGGAGGGGACGCAGGAGCAGCAGCAGAAGCAGCAGTAGCAGCAGGAGGAGCAACAGCAGGAGGGGAAGCAGGGGCAGCAGCAGAAGCAGCAACAGCAGGAGGAGCAACAGCAGGAGGGGACGCAGGAGCAGCAGCAGAAGCAGCAGTAGCAGCAGGAGGAGCAACAGCAGGAGGGGAAGCAGGGGCAGCAGCAGAAGCAGCAACAGCAGGAGGAGAAGCAGGAGCAGCAGCAGAAGCAGCAACAGCAGGAGGAGGAGGCGATTTGACAGCAGACATGAGGGCAGCGGCAAGGACGGAGGCAGCGGCATGAGAATGAGCCGGCTGAGCGAGCAGCACCTCCAGTACAGCTGCATCCAACGCTGCTGCTCCCCTTGGCACGTCCGCCAGCAGCGTCAGAGTGGACGGCAAGAAAACGGGCCGAACCGTACACGCAGCAGGCGAGGCAGCAGTACCAGCAACAGAAGCAGCAGCAGCAGCAGCAGAAGCAGCAGCATAAGCAGAAGAAATTTCTATGGCTCCAGCAGTGCTATATGGTGCAGAGGTGGTAGATCCTGGAGCAGCAGCAGGAGCACCAAGCGCAGAGGCGGCAAGTGCAGAGGCAGCAGTTATGGCAGCGCCAGCCATGCTTCTGGGCACTCGGAAGGGACGGCGGCTCTGCGCCCTGGGGGTGCACGCTGCCGGAGCGACCAAAGAAGTGGGAGACGCAAGAGCGACAGGGTTGCGTTGGAGGCTGCTGCTTTCAGAGAGATAGGCATCGACAGCCCCGCTGCTTCTCCCGTTGCCCATACCACCGCCACCACTACCACCACCATTACCGCCGCCATTACCGCCACCATCACCACCACCGCTGTCAGCAACACCCTTCCCAGCACCACAGAAGCTGCTGTTGATGCTTCCACTGGGCACACTTCCCGCCAGCATGCAATAGCTGCTGCCAAACACGTTCCTGCTGTTACTGCTGCTGCTGCTGCTGCTGGTGCTGTTACTTGTGCTGGTGCCACTGCTACCTGCAGAATCCAGAGGCAGAGAGTGCAGCACAGGAGCCCCAGAGGGAGACACAGCTGGCCAGAGAGGCTCTCCTGGCAGCAACACCCCTGGCAGTAAGTCTGCCCTGCTGCATGGACTTCCAGAGAGGAGAAGAGCCTGCACAATGCTGGCTGCAGTGGCACACTCAGTGCCGGCTGTAGCAGCAACCTGAATGCCAGCTGAAGCGGCAAGACCAGTGTTTACTGGATGATGCTGCATGGGCACAAGCTGCATCCCCGAAGGCTGCGATGCCGTGGGGTTTAGAAGACCACAGGATTTGTCACCGCCTCGGCTACCCTTGTCGCTGCCTCTGCCAGTCTTGTCGCCGCCTCTGCCAATCTTGCCGCCGCCTCTCCCACTCTTGCCACCACCTCTGCCACTGTTCTCGCTGGAAAGTAGTGCTGCCGCAGCACCTTGAAGACTGCAGAGTCCAGCGCGGGCAGCAGCAGCAGCAGTAGCCGGAGCATCAGTAACAGCAACAGAAGCAGCAGAAGCAGGAGCAGCAGCAGCAGCAGCAGCTAACGCAGCAGACGCAGAAGCAGTTGTTCTTCCCAGCAACATCCGGTTGTCAACAATTATGCCGCCACGGCCATTGGGAGAGGCACTGGCACTCGGTGCATGACCTCCCGATTGGAGGAAACCACAGGTGGTACCAGTTCCAGTCATAGCAGCAGGCGCAGGCAAAATCCTTCGAGGAACGAGCGCCATGGGGGTGGCCTCACGATAAGGTGGCGGCCCCACTTCGAGCTTCTCCTCTTTCACTGCTCCAGCTGCCATGGCGCTGCTCCAGACAGCATTATTATGACTCATAGTGGTGGTGTTGGTGTGTGCACTACCCTCAGAGCCGGTGCACCAGTTGCTCCTATTGCCACGTTTTCTGGCAGCTGTGGAGCTACCTGGATGAGTAAGATGATAGTTCTTAGAGGCCAGGTTTTTTTTCGGTTTTCTTCGCAACTTGCGGGGACACTGGCCCGGGGTTTCGTGGTTGTGGGTGTACATGTAACGAGTATGCAGTGTACTGGGAGTGACCTTGCTGGACGGGTCGATCTCCACTACTTTGCACGCCCGGCACGGGGAGGATTCGGCTCGCGACCACACGCACTTGTAGTACGCCCTGCCACGGGACGTCAGGGCGACCCGGGAGGTGACGGGCGATGAGGGGAGACAGGGATACAGAGGGGAACAAGGGGACAGGGTGAGGTTTGAGAGGGTGAGAAGGTGAGGGCGAGTGAGAGGGTGGCAAAAGGTGTGATCATAACGAAAGAGAAATTGGCCAAGTTGTGTTGTCGATACCCAGCCTGCTGCATGCTGCTTTGGCGCTTGTGTGTTGCTGGTGCTGCCAATGCTGGTGATGCTACTGCCACGGCCAAACGACCAGCGCCGCTCCGTACCTTATGGTTGACCGAGATGCCGAGGCGCGCTTTTCGCCGTATTTGAGCCAATTGAAGCCGTCCGAGTTAACGATCTGCTGAATCCGTGCAGTGCGACTGACGGCCTCCTCCAACTCACCATCGTCAGCACCACCATGATCAGCGTCACCATCAACACCATCACCATCACCATCACCATCATCATCAGCAGCTTGTTCTGACGAAACAGGTTTAGGATAGCTGATAGTGGTGGTGGTGGGAGTTGCTGGAGTCGGAGGTGTGGGAATAGGAGTTGTGGCGGCGACTGTGCCGCCAGTACTAGGAGTGATGTTACTGGGAGAATCAGGCAATGGAAGGTGACACGCCGGCGCAATACATGTACTCGGATGATGGCTGTGCCCGTTAATTTGCAGTGAGTATTGGCCCTCAAGCCTTCTGCCAGACACAACACCAGCAACGGGAGCAGCCGCAGATCCGTGCCGCGGCACAGGCTCATCCACATGCTCTTCATTGTGAAGATCACGAAGGTCACAATGTACTATCATCGTCGTGGCGGTGACGGCTGCTGGTACTACTACTACACCATGATCATCATGATGCCGGCTCATCACAGGGTGATTGTCCATCACAGCGGCGGCGAGCTAGAAGCATAAACTTAACTATACTAGTTGCAAGCGCGGGAGCGCCGGATTGAAAGTGCTTGCATCATATTTTCCAGAATTCGCAGCGCGGCGCGGCGTCCCCAGGCCGACGAGCAGCGCCGATAGTACAATTACGAGCAGAACTATCAGAATGGTGAGTATTTTCTGGTAGTAGAGTCTGCGCCAGCGTCAGCCAATTAATAGTACTACTATGCGGCACAGCCAGTGGTGCTAGCAGTAGAACAACTTTATAATGGACCAAGTTCGAGTCGAACACGCCTACTTGCATGATGTAATCAGGGCTGTCAAAACAGTATCGTATAGTAGGTCGGACCTTCGCGCTTGAGTGGGCCTTGCACGGTGGGGTAAAACTCTCGGGAACGGCGCCAGGGAATTCGCGTCACCCGGCACATCCCACTAGAGCTGCGGACAATTTTTAGGGTTGGGCATCCACGAGCTATCTAGAAAGTTGAGCTGTCCACTGGATGAAGGTTTTGCTGCAGTTGAGTTTGACCATGCCCAAGGCACCTTGTTCGACCTGGTGATGCAGCCCACCATGCGCGGAAGCACTGGGGGGCTTGGTGTGTACAGACAGACTCATTAAGCGCTTCATGCGGGGTGCCTCCCACGTGGGAGAAATGGAAATCCGGCACCGTGAAACACGGGGGACAGATGGAGCGATGCCTCCGTTCGTTGGGTCGGTGGTAAGGTGGAGGGAGGTGGACAAAGCAAAGCAAGGGGAGTTTGCCACCACACGTGGGATGGGTTTGCCATATTCGCTAAAAAAACCAAACTGGAATGCGATCCGCCTCAGACGGCGTTGAGCATCAGACCTTGTCAACTGACCCACACATGCCATCCTAGTCCAGGCTGTCGAGGTTCGAAAACCAAGAAAGACAAACAGATGTACCTTCTTGCCCAGCTGTTCGAAAGTGGAGGAAGTTCGTTGGACATCCACCTGCTTGCCCTTCCAGTTCGTTCTGAGTAGGGTAGTGATGTCGCACAAGAGGGGGCAAAACGTGTCTGAGTACATGTCCGTAGTATTGACATGTCAAAATTGGCAGTGTCAATTGGCCTTCTTGACACTCGTCAACATTGTTGGCAGAGTGTCAAAAACTCGCACGCTGTCAACCAATAAAAAGCGTCGGACAATTTCGACGTTGACACACTCGCACCTATTAACGAGCGAATTTCGTCGCAACATCCTATCCGACGACCTGATATTGCCCAAGCATCACCCACCATCACCTTCTAGCAGTCTCTCAGTGCCAAATTAATTCGCGGGATTGGTGTTATACCAATGACATTGCGCCGCTGATGTTCGTACATGCGCTTCGAATTGACAAGGTGATTGACGCTTCAAGCTGAGTGCGCTTCGGGCTGACACAAATTTGATGACATGTCATTACTACGGACAGGTACTGAGTTGTCGAGCAAGGCCAAAAACAAGTCCACACCACACAATGCTCAGGGTAAGTACTAGCTTTGGCAGGGGTACTACTAGGGACCCCGCGCTTTGAAAGGGACTACAGTGCTAGCAGAGGGCACTTTCCACCCCTCCGTGCCTCAGACAGTGAAATTATAGAAACAAGACAGTACTCTTCCCCACATTCACCCACGTGTCACCAGTTTCCATGCCAACTACTGTACTAGACAACTGACCAACGTGAGCAACTGTTTTCTGTCTCTTCTGCCATATCGAATCCACAATCTGGGTGGATCGGCTGCCACACTGTTCCGAAATCTGAAAGGCTACTTTTTTTTTTGATATCAAAATACATTACAAGAATGTATAGACATCGGCAGTCGTAACTGTCTGCCCAAAATTCGGAACACAGACCAGCAAGGCAGGCGGGGACTTGGTGTACCTTGGTCGAAAACTCAATCGACAGACCTTCGGACGGAAATTAAGTCCTCCTGCCGACTTCGCTATGGGCACTGTGATCCTTCAACTTGTAGCAGAGAACAGAGCCGATTCTACGTCGACATTCGGGAAGTGGGTTCGCCCTAAACGGGCCTTCAACCCTCATATGTTTGACATTGTAACCTTTGTAGCCTTTGTAATTGCAACCTTTGTTTTGCAACCCCATGTTTGTGTGAAGTCGGGCGTATTTTCCTTACATCGTATTTGCTTAGGCCAGCACTTGAAAGTTCCAGGCCCCTCCTCTATCCGTAGAATCTGGGGAAATTTCAGGGGGCACTTCAGCCTCTCACGCTCTGGCCCATACACCTAGTCCACGGTATTTTAACCGCCGATATCTTAACCACGCAAGGGTACTTCTCCTTTATCAAACTTATTTAGTCGGGTTTTTCAAACTTTACGATGGTAGAATCTAGCATTCCCTTCGCGAGAGACCGCAGAAAAAACTCAGTGAATGCCGAGTGTGACAAATGTCAATCCGTCTATCTTGGAGCACTAAGTGTAAGTTCCTTAAACGGAAGTGCTTTCGGCTGCAGAATCGTAGCCTCGATGACTCTGGGTGCTAATAACATTACCCAGAAACGAACAAAGGGGGTTTGAAAGAACAAAGTTCACCTGGCTAAAATACCGCGGACTAGGTGTAACTTGGGTCGTCCAGCAGGCGGTGCTACCCTGCCAGCTTGGCTTGTGTGTTAAACATACCCAATTGCAAGAAGTAACGGCGCCTTCGATGACACTGGCAGGCTGTCTGCCAATGGGCGCACTGAAATGCCAGCCAAAGAAATAACATGCTTGTCGCTACTGCGACACAATTTTCCTCAGGATTTTGAGTTGAGCACGCACTGTTACTGAACTTAGGTGCTGTTATTTGCTTTCCACGGAGCTACAGAGCTTCTGGCGCACTGTTACTGCCCAGAATTCGCTCACAGTGCAGAGTTATGTACTTTCAACTCGATTTTGCTTTCATTGGTCATAAAATTGACGGGCCAATAACGAAATAATGGCGCGACGCGACGATTCTCGAATTTTGCTCAATCCTGTCGACTACCCTCGCACCGCGCTACCCGATATTTGATATTTCAAAATCTTATGGACTTCTACATGCGCTTTCGTGATAATGGCATAAACACTCTCGACAAAGTTTGAGTCGGATTTGTTGGACGACGCATTCTTTAGCCAGGCATGGTTTACCCTGAATACGCAATAACCGTTCAGCCAATTGTTTTTTAAGGCTATAAGGTTATGCAAGGTGTTATATATCTTCAATATGACATAGTTTTCAGTCATATTCGGAACTGAAAAAGAAACTGAACTTAATCATAAATTGCTTCACACTTCTACAAGATTTAATTTAGGAGAAATAATGTGTGTTCTTGCATAATTTTGCAAATTTGCATTTGTTGAGGCAACAATCAAAACCTATTTCAACATGCGTGTGAGTTTGTGGGTTGAAAAAAACCATCTTTTGCTACATTTGAGAATAATAGTCCATGCTATAATATTTTCTAGTCCGATGCAAGAGTCATGTTGCCTCATTACGGCTGGTCCTAATGTATACTATAATACGACTTCGTATTTTTTTGAATCATTCTAACCCTGAAGTATTTACCCGTTCAGTCAGCATGACAATTTTGAATCATTAATGCAACTGCATAAAATGACCACTCGTACAAAGGGGTTGCATTTATTGCATATGGATATCGTCAAATGTGTTCTCACAAAAATAAAGAAATCAACGGGATCCAAAATTGTTGAAAAAAAAAGCAGTCAGACCAGACCCTAAAAGCAGGTGTAGAGCAAGTTGCGCTCCAAAGGATTGAGACAATTTAAAAAATGGGGAGCGCGGTGCAAGGTTAGTCCACAGGATTGAGCAAAATG